AGAGAGTGACAAGCATACAAAAGAAGTAGAGGAAAAATGACGATATACGGATGAGGAAAGAAAAGGCAACAGTTTCCCCTATGTTGTTCAGGCACAGTGTGAGCATGACATTGACAAGTCAGCCCATTTACAATTCTGCTGTGCATAAGAACATGTTAATACCCCCCCCCCCCCCTTTTTGGGGGGAATGGCCTAAAGACAACTTCAGTTAGTAGCGCTGTTGATAGATAGATAGATAGATAGATAGATAGATAGATAGATAGATAGATAGATAGATAGATAGATGGACAGACAGACCAACAGACAGACAGACAGACAGACAGACAGACAGACAGACAGACAGACAGACAGACAGACAGATAGATAGATAGATAGATAGATAGATAGATAGATAGATAGATAGATAGATAGATAGATAGATAGATAGATAGATAGATAGATAGATAGATAGATAGATAGATAGATAATGTGCTGCCCATGCCCATGGTCACAGGTTGTATATTGGTATGAGTTCCTGATTCATAGCTACGGACCATGGGAGTTAGTAAAATATAAAGACTGTTTACGCCCGAATATCATTTATTATCTATCTGTGGTGGCCGAATGTTGCTATACAAAAGGCGTTTGAATGGCGGCATCGATTGACATGTGGTTTTTGCCGAAAGATTCATTGAAATATTTGTGTGATCTCCAGATCATGACGCCCTGGGTTTTTTCCGTTATGGGACAGTTTTGATGGAAAAAGCTAAATTTCATTATTTCGCTGATCGCTTTTGTAGGCCGACGCTTCTGTCTCTGTAATTTTAGAAAACCCGGAAGTGATATTTCGCGAGGCGCATTTTGTTTTGAGAGTATAGATCTAGATCTGGACCTTCTAATTTTTTGCATCTCTCAAGATTTATTTCCCCATTCCAGTAGAGTGTAAATATAGTAGGCCAATGACTTTTAGTTGATATTAAAGCACCGATCATTCCTTTCATCGAAAGGGGGCCCAGCTAGTTTATTATAAAAATCAACCTTTGGCAACTACTACAGGTAATGCACAGCGTTGTCCTCCCGTGTATTCAAAGGGGAAAAAATAAGCCTTTGACAGAAAAGCCATTGAGTGCTTTAATCAAAATAAAAAAGTAAATCTTTGAAGGATCAGTTTTTTCCGTGCCTCAAAAAGGGCATAGTATATAAATATACACACGACCACGTATGTTAATACTACAGTAACAGAACTATTGATCTAGATGATTTATCGGTTTTTCGGCTGATCGATCAGTGTCCGAGTTTATGTTCTGCAAAGTTGTCACATTACCGTAAAGATTTTTCATTTGAAAATATTAATGCTGTTGTTTCTCTTGCAAGCCCGATTATTGATATAATATTCTTCGAGAGTGTTTTTAAAAAATGAGTATTAAGTGCATGTCGTCTGACAAGAAAAGGCTTTGGGGTTCTGATTCGGAGAAATGCGCAGCTCGGAGAAATAAATTAATGTCATGATATTATTTAATGTGGCGGTTGATTTCTCACCTTGTCTTTCTTTCTTCCCCCTCCTCTCTCTCCTCCCCCCACCCCAATCTCCATGATTGTTTTCCTTTCCATCCCTGTCCCATCTCTGTCTCTCCCCCCCTCTCTCTCTCCCTCTCTCTCTCTCTCTCTCTCTCTCTCTCTCTCTCTCTCTCTCTGTGTCTCTCCCTCTCTATCACTTTTCGTCTTATTTTCTGTTTCTGTTTCTGACCCTGTAT